TGACCTTGAACAAGTCACTTGATCTCTCTGTTTCCTTATCTATTGGATGACAATGTTTATTCCTGGCTTATCAAACTGCTATAAGGAGAATATCAATAACCTTGGCAAAGTATCTGGTCATGGTTAGGGCTAAAGAAATGGTAACCATTAAGTGGTGAATCGGGCCAGCCTCACCTTCAACTTAGTCCATCTGATGGTAATAACAGAGGATGAGCTTCTAGCAGTAGCCTCTAGAACAGTGGTTCTCAACCTTGGCTGCACATTAGAATCACCTGGGAATCTATTTAAAATCCTGATTTCTGGGCCTCATCCTCCCGAAATTCTGTTTCTTTGTTACTAATGTTGTGGCCCCACCCCATAACGAAGAAACAGAATTTCCGGAGATGAGGCCTAGAAATCAGGATTTTAAAAAGATTCCCAGGTGATTCTAATGTGTAGCCAAGGTTGAGAACCACTGCTCTAGACAGTCTGTAAGTCACTGCAAGGATTCAGTAAGTGGCCTTCAGAAGGGAGAACTCAAAATTCAGCCTTCATCAATGATCACACAAGTTCATTATCAAGTTTTTTATTAATCTCTGCCACACTGTCCTCTCATTAGGAATTGAAATAAAACTACCTGCCCTTTGGACGGTGTGTTTAAGCTTTTATTGTGAATGGTAACAGGTCAGAGACTGGAATGTAATTGACACAGAGGCTAAATTCCAAGAGCATTACTTGGAAGACTCTTTATGGACAATAATTTCACAGAAGACAAATTCAAACCAGAGATGCTGCTTGAAAACCACGAATTTAGTCAAGGTTGAAAGATACAAGAATAGTTAAGTATTTTGCACAAAGGAAATCTGGTGGATGAGCCGGTAGAATTGATGCCTGTGGGATGCATTCTCAAGGGTTCTGTTTTGCTTCTTTGAGAGAGGCCGTCATTGTCGGTTCAGCTGGGGGTTCCTTCCTTCACATTGAGAACCTGGAGCAGAGAGATCAGCACCATAAAAAAACATTAGAAAGAGTTAAGCAAATGTAGTTAGTTATACTTGACGTAACTCCATTCCCAACAAACCATCAGCATCACGTGGAACTAGTTAGCAAGGCAAACTCCTAGGACCTAGGTCACCTTGACCGACTAAATTGGAACCGGTGGGGGTGAGGCCCAGCAATCTGTGCTTTCACGAGTCTCAGGTGTTCTGAGTGAGCATGTTAATGCTCCAAAACCATAGCTGTCCCAAGAGAGAAACAAACTTCTTCTCTTTTGGGAGCCACTATATTTTTGGGGTCTTTTTGTTATATCAGCTTAACTTGCACTCTGATATATTTTGACTAATGTTAACAATTAAATGTATTATCCCCAGGAATTGTGACTAAATAGCAGCTGGTTAGGGGGACTATTAGGGAATGTGGAATCTTAATTCTTACTTGGCTTCTTTTGGCAATACCTCATTACATGAATCAATTTGTGAATTACACAGTTATATATCATAAACCCATGAATATACGTGGTAGCAGTGTGAGCAACTTGGGAAGACAAGCCTATATGGGTTTCTGCCAGCTCTCCATTTATTGTGGTTTGCTTGTTGGGGCTTCAGTTCAAATTAACTAAGACTGAAGAAGAATGAAAAGCTATCATTTAAAAAACCCTTCTTTGTTCCCCTATAGCAGCCTTTACGCACTGAGGTGAGAAAACACTTTTCATCCAGACTAGAGCTTATTATGCTTTTCAAGAGCATAATTCTGGAAATTTGGGTTCTCTGGCATCCAGATCAGCCATTTGTTCCTAATAACGAAACTGATTTCCTCAGACCAGAAATTACCTGCTCTATGGCTCAATGCTTGGCCAGGTGTTAATGAGGCCAGGGCCTGGGGTTTAACTCCCACCCAAGCCAATTAGCTTTGCTCTCCTCCATGAGCCCAGGATGCACTATTAAGGGTCGCCAACCTGCCTGAAGATGCTGCTACCCACCTGGCATTATGAGCCACAGGTCATAAAAGGGGCCAGCTGAGGATGTGGGAAATAATCCATAGAAGTCCTCCCATTGGCGGAAAATATTGAATTTGAGTGGTTTGGCTCAGGGAGAGGAAGTAAAGCTACAAGGAAAAGAATTGTGTACCCCAGGAAGATCGAGGACCTAGAGGCAGGAGGGGAGTGAAGAGGCCAACATTCCTCTGTTCCTTCATGGAAACTGTCAGGGCGGTCAGAGGATTTTTAGTTCTTTTTGGTTGCATGTTGCTTTCCCTATATTTGGAGCTTCCTTTGGAGCAGTTCACATATTAATAAGTAAAACTTTTCTATTCTCTATACTGATTTGATGGGACAATGGGAGCAGTCTCTTAAAAGTGAGGGCAAACGTGCAACATTTCCTTCCTTTCTATAACAGCTTTGGCAACGCATTCCTCAAGTCCCTCTCCTGTCCACCAAATAAGAGAGAAAAAAACTGTAAGGCTACAAAGAACAATGAACCAGGTCTAAATCACAAGAGGAACCCAAAGGCCAACTTCAACCTTTACTGAAACTCAGGACAATCCACAACCACATGCAGGATTAGGGATTAGAATTAGGCCCTGGAGTTGGCCAACCTAAACACTGTTTTATATTATAGAAATCATAGCATCAAAGTTCCATTCATTTTTGTAAGAAGGATATAGTTAAAAGAAAATTAAGTTTAACCTTGAAATGATTGGCCATAATTTCTGATAAAGTTCTGGAGCTTGTTTGCCATGATATTGTAACCACCTAGTAGATTCAGTGCACATTTGCACAGATCTTTTCTGAATTAAGTCAATATCCTTGTCATCAAAGCCTAGGAAATGCTCAGCATTTCTAACTACAGCTCTGGGAGAATTGGCAATAGGACTTGATGTCTTTTTACTAAAGGGTGAGAGGAGAGCATATGTGGATAGTTATTAATTTTAAGACAAGTCCTTCAGCCTCTGAGAACTCCTGCTGCTAATTCTGGTAATTCCTAGCTAAGTTACTAAACTTCCTTCTAACATGGAGATATATATGGATTTTTAATAGAAACAATTCTCTTGGCATGCCCTCTTTGTGAATAAGACAATTATAAGATGTTCTCAATTTTTATGACAGCATACTTTCATTGAGGCGGAATTTCCAAAGCCAAGGGAGCTCTAAGCTGTGTGGTCTATGCGCATAAAAAACTGTTGAATTCATTTTTCATATTATCAGGAAATATATTCAAAAGAATGGTAGCAATATTTACAATAGCTAATTTTTAACTTGATGTGTACTGAAACAGGATGAGTTTTCTAAACTTGTAACAAGAACAAGGCATAAACAGATATAGTAGAAAAATAAAGCCTGATTATATCAAGTTGACTTTTCAGATCATGTTGAATACTGGTAAATATTGTCCCCTTGAAGCAGTCACTCTCTGTGATGGTCCACTCAACCCATCCCATGCTACTGCCACTCAGAGACCTTATTGGAGCTATTCTTTGGTAATTGCCTTCAAGCTTACAGAATATTCTTCTGACTATGATGGGAAAGTTTCCATCCTTGAGGAAGGAGTTGAATTTTCATAACAATCCAAAGTTATGCAGAGCCTGGTTTGGGGGGAAAAGCAACTCAAAGCGGATATTGCTGTTTAATTCAAAAGTGAGGCACTACAGATGAATGCCATGACTGTGTGTATTTTATGAATGAGCTATGAAAGTAAGTCCATGTCAGTGTTTGTGAAATTATTTTAGAGGGTTTTGTAGTGGTGATTGATATTACTCTTCAGACAAAAGAGAAGGCACTGCTGTTGGCCATCCATCCATGGGATGTCCCACAAAATACTTGTCCAAGAAAAAGTCTGTCCAGCCAGAAGCTAATAAGTCAGTCACTAATTGCTAGAGTCCTTAGAGCCCTCAGAGCCCTGTGATACACACACACATACACACACACGCGCGCACACACACACACACACACACACACGGAAGCTGGTATCATACAGGTGTGGGCAAGAGAATTAATTACTCGAGGCTTTATATGGAGTTGTTACTTATTTCTGTATTGGTTGACTTAATCCAGATTTTCTTTCTGAATAAAGGCTTCCAGAGACATTCTCTCTAAGTACTTAATGCAACAAATGCATTTTTGTTTTGAGTTGAGCCTAAAAAATCCACAGTGGACCAAAGGGCAGTGAAGCACAGAGCTCCCTCTGGAGAATAAACTGAGGGTTGGCAAAGCCAGCCCGAGACTCTGGAGAGGGACCATCAATCAAAGAATTGGCCACCATGAAAAAGTGAAAGAGCCAGCTTCCCAAGCTCTGTGACTGAAAGTCAGTATTGTTTCTTATCAAAAAAGGGAGGAGCATGGAGCTACTGCATCCTGCATCCTTCCTATGTAATATCAACATGGACAGTGCCTCAGAAGATGTCTGTCCGGGCGGCACACTGTCCAGGCAGACAGCACAGGCTCCTGTCCTGGTTTTACCAGTGAACAGCTGTGTGACCATCTCAGTTTCCTCACAGAGACTCTACAATCGAGAAAAGAATAGAATTTTCCTGAATCTTCCTCCTAAGATTGCTGTGGGTATTAACCGATCAAATGGAGATCAACTGCTTCTCCCAGTACTTAGAGTATAGTGAACACTCAATAAAATTAGCTATTATTAATATTTCTAGTATTCCAATTATTTTTGCCTTTTATCATAAATTTCATGGAAGCTTCTTAACAGTTCATGAGAATCACTTCATTTTCAGCTGCTTCATCTTCTTCCTACACATTTTCTTCTCTCTTTTAACTCATTGACTGTCCTTGTATCTAACCAATGCCAGTTTGGTAGAATTGTTGTTCTCTGTCCTCCATAAAATCATATACAGGCCAAATCAGTTGCCCTTAGGTATGTTCAACAAGTTTTGAAATATTAGGATGAACCCTGAACTCAGTAATCTTGGAACAAAAATGAAGAAGTGTCATTTTGCATAAAAGGTCACAAATAAGAATGCTCTCTTCTAAAAACATCTATGAAGAGGCCCTTTTCCGTGTCCATCAAAAATACACCCTATCTGTAGACCCACAGGGATTTACTCAGAGATGGCCTCACTAGCAAAATATTCTGGTTGGGCCTGGCAGATTAAAAACATCCCATCCGTGCACAGTTGCTAATACATACAATTCCTAGTAAAACCCCTAAACTGGAGTTTTGAAACCACAGCATTTTGATGTGCCAAGAGGAAAAACAATCTATTATGTTGAAAAGAAAAGATGGTGCGGCAGTTGTCTACTAATTTCCTTAGCGTGTATTGGTATTGGCCTAATGCAGTGGCTGTGAAGGCTTGCATTGTAAACAATTTTATTCTCCACTCAACCTTTCCTCCTAACTCTCCCCAAACACCTCCCCACCCCTCACACCTTCCCCCTACTTCCCCAGTAGGTTCCTTATACCTTTGAGTCTTGAATACATCTGAAAAATTGCTGCTATCCTCGGAATCGGAATCCGGAGTAGACTGGAGAATACCCAGGGGTGCCCTGTGGAGGTGACTGGTGGCTTCCGGTCCCCTTTCCTTCCATGAGGCCTAGCAGAGTCCTTGCAGCTTCTTCCCACAGGATGTGCTGCCGCAGCTGGTACTTCGGGCTCCCTCCCTCGTAAACATATGGGGACTCTCCTGTGCTCTTTTTCCCCATTAGGTGCCCTGTAAAAGACAAAACAAACACAGAATGCCACAAATTTAACCTGGAGCGATGAATGAATGAGGAATTTAAAAGGACCCCAATTATGTTTGTGCTTCTTGCTCTTAAATGCAGAATAAATAGCATTTTATTATTAGAGTTAGTTCATAGATGATTGGTTTTGCTTTCTATTCAAAATGAGAAGTGAACTGGACAGAATTCAGACCTGCAGCTCTGGAACCCAGGGTACGGTCCCAGCCCCTCTGCTAACGAGCTAGGTGACCTCTGCCAAGTCATCTAGCCTCCCCAGTCTTCAATTCCTCAAATATAAAATGAACAGGTTGGACTAAATGAAATATAGGGAACCTTCCATATCTAAAATTCTACCACCAATTCTGTGTGCGCTGAGTTCCATTCCCAACTGAATGGTGGAATTGAAACATCCTCCCCCGCCGATTTGAAATTGCTACTGCGAAGAAAAGTCTCGATGCTTTTCTTTGTGTGATTTTTAAAAAGGGGCGGGGGTGTTGTTTATCTCTTATCTGTAATACAAATGTACCAAAGGAATTTTTCATTTAAACTTTCTCAGAACTTAGCTGAGATTGAATCTAGGAAGCGTCACCTAGAAATTACAGTTTGTAAAGCATGTAATGAAAAACTGGTTGAAAACAAGCTCTGACCAACACTTCCCAGCCACATAATGCAGGATTTTCTCTTGGATGTCTAACGTGGTCAGCGAACGTCTACCAAAGGCTCCAGGGATGTACACGTGCCGTGTAAATTAACAAAAGTTGCGGTGCAGAAGGCCAAATCACTAAAACCATGGAAATTCATGAATGCAAGTGGGGACAGCCATGGGGTCAAAGGAGGCAGGGAATTCAAGGTCTGCATTCTGAGCACTTTAGCCCACTGCTTAAATATTCTCACATTATCTTATTTACTTTCGTCATTTGATTTTTCCCATCTCTCTATGATCAGCTTATATAGTATTTTCAAATGTCTAATATTAATAAAACTATCGTGCTTTTGATTTAAAGGTCACAGGTAAGAGCTCTCTGTGGCTCCAATGCTGACTGACATTAGAAGTATTTAAAGCAAACATCATGGGAATAATGTTGGACAGACCTCAGTCATACAAAATAGAAAGAACCTCTTCCTAGCATCTCTCTTCACCAAGAGGAGCCCTCACTATGATGTCATTGTGTATTGCAGTGTGCTGTTTACATGATGTCTAATTGCAGGTCAGTTCATGTGATCCACCCTGTAGTAAGTCTGATGAAAAAGAGACCCGTGGTCACACAGGTAAGCAAAGATTCTAGGATTAAAATCAGCTCACAAAAGGAGACATATGTACTACTATTTGTAATACTTTAAACAATAAAAAAAAAATCAGCTCACAGTCCAGACTCTACTATACTATACTGCTTCAAAGTCTTTGAACTTCCTAAGAATATAAGGCAGTGAGAAATCATTCTAGGGTCTGTGATAAGAATGAAGCCAGTAAAAGGCTTTCTAATATTATCTTTAAAATAGGAATCATATAGCCATATATCATGATTGATATCGTGACTCAGAAAATTAATTCTGTGAGTATTGGGGAGCCTTCAACTGAGGTTTCACTGCCCAGCAGTGTGAGCACTTGTCAAGTCACTTAAGACACGTCACACAATTTCAGGCCTCCCTATTGAGGACTCTGACCCCACTAAAGGAATCCTGAGTGATCGGCTCCTCACTTGTCTGCTTGGTCAACCTGGTGCCCAGAGAGCCACTAAGTAACCTTGCATTTAGCCAGAACAGTGATTATGTTGCACAACTTCCCAGGAAGTAGCAAGGCATTTGGCTTTATGTACATGGAGAAAATTGAATCATGATGATGGAAAAGCAGGATTAGAATCTGATGCTCCCAGTAATGCCCTCAGTCCCTCTTGCCTTCCATCACATCCTATCATCCTGTTAGCGTGCTGGAAAGGAGAAAGGCATTATTGCCCATGAGACAGAGGGGGACTGGAGATGTTTCCACAAGAACTGCATTTTTGTCAGGCCTGAATTATTTTGTGGACTTTTCTAAAAACCATCCGTGATGGATTTCACACATAGGATGTCCCTCAAAAAATGTATACACATGCTTTAAATAATTATAAAGGCAGCGTTTATTAAAATACATTTTATTTTCAAAATTGAGCTCTCGGCTGTTAAAGTATGTATACATTTTTGGGAGACATCCTGTAGATCCTTGGGGCCTTTTCTTGAGTTTTTAATGTTTGCATATTTGGAAGGCGGGTAGTGTTCCGTCTCCCACTCCCAGATCCACAGACTGGTCATGAAGACGAGGGTACTGCCCTAACCAGTTTGGCTCAGTGGATAGAGCATCGGCCTGCAGATTGAAGGGTCCCAGGTTCGATTCCTGTCAAGGGCATGTACCTTGGTTGTGGGCACATCCCCAGTAGGGGATGTGCAGGAGGCAGCTGATCGATGTTTTTCTCTCATCGATGTTTCTCTCTATCCTTCTCCCTTCCTCTCTGTAAAAATAATCAATAAAATATATATTCTTAAAAAAATAAATAAAAAAGAAGAGGGTACCATCTATAACATCACAGGGAAACACACATTCCCTGGGTCCTATTTCACTGGTGAGCTGGCACCTGTCCACCAAATAATCATCTCTATGGCAACATGGATGCTATGCCCACTTCCACCTCTTCTCCCATCATCTTTTGTTATCTGTTCATATCATAATAGTGGAGATCTCAGCTTAGCCAAAAGACAGGCACTTGAAAAAAATAAAACCATGGCCAGGGGGAAAAAGGCCTTTGTCTCATTTAAAAATACCACTAAAATAGCAGGTTTGAAACATAACTTTCTTGAACTCAAAACTTGAAGATTACTCAAACTCAGGAAACGACCCATTAAGACCAAGTGCTACGTACTTCTAGGAGCTAGTGTCTCTGGACAGATACTTAAACTCTATTTCAGTTTCTGGAATAGTGTGACAATGTCAAGCCATTCTGTAGCTGAGCACAGGTGTTCAGACTCCCCCCTCCCTGATAGAGACCACAGGCATTTACTTAGGAGACTGGCAAGCTACATTCAACACCGAACATCATTCCTGCTTGTGAAAGCTCACATTCCCTCCGAGAGCATGTCTACTTAAAGGTAACTTTTGCTCAACCACAATGTCATTTTAGACCCAAATGTGAGTTTCTCCTTCTCCTTTCTCTTTCCTTTTTCTTCCTCAACTCTGCACAGCCAGCCAAGGGAGAAAAAGGAAAAAGAGTGTGTCTGAGAGCAGTAAGAAAATTTAAGGTTGCCACTGGTCTGTATGCTTTGGGGTGAGGAATGCCCAAGCACCACCACAAAGGGTGATTAATGCCAGGCACCCTAACTCCCTGGAGGCAGATACACTCTGGAACTACAGCAATCAGGGTTGGCTTGCACCAGAAATAACATGGTTCTAGCTGCTCAGCTAACTCTCTTGTCCTCCTTTTGGCCTGTAAGGGTTACCTAATAATAAAGCCTTTTTAGGACAAAAAATATGGATGAGCAAAAAGAGGTTGGAAGTCTGGAAGTTTCCTTTCACCTTCCCAGGCCACCAGATGGTGGCTGGCCTGGCCACTGGCCACTAGCTCTAAGGTCCCAGGAGCCTTTTTAAGCATCAGTCCTAGGTTTGGCTTCCTTAACACCCAAGTGTCCTTTCTTGGTTGTTTTTGGTTTTGCTTTTCATCTTCGCTAATCCCAGCCTTTCCTCTCCACACCAGACTTCTGGGTTCCCATGCCCCTCAGAGACCACAAATGCTTTCACCCAGGCTGCCAGCCTTGGGCAATGACAGCGACAATGCGAACTACTCTGCTGCAACCAGGAGCTGTCCGATTCTCTCACAGAAGCGGCCACAACACGGAAATGCCGAGGAAGTGACAGTTCCAGCCTGACTCCTTTCCATGAAGTCATCCTGTCTTCACACAGAGAACCTGAGAGTTGTCTGATGTATATGAATTAGCAAGTATCTTTCCAACACACCCTCCCCTTCTCTACACAGATAACTAAGGAAATAGAAACAAACATATAAAAACACCACCATCACCATCACCACCACCACCATCACCATCACCACCACCACCGTCACCATCACCTCCACCATAATCACCACCACCATCACCACCATCACCACCATCACCATCATCACCACCATCACCACCACCACCACCATCACCATCACCACCACCACCGTCACCATCACCTCCACCATAATCACCACCACCATCACCACCATCACCACTATCATCACCACCAGCACCACCAGCATCACCCTTAAATCTCATTAGTGATGACCAGCCCCCGCCCCCCCCCCTCCGCAGGAAATGTTGGGGTTGCTGTAGTTGGCTTTATGGGGAGGTTTCTGAGGAAGTTAGGCGCTTTGCATTTGCCAGAGGCTGTTTGACGTGCCGAGATCCCCAGGGTGGCATTGGGTGAGCGGAAGGTTTCAGAACCGCTACCTGCCTCCCAGTTACTCGTCGCTGGGAGGCCTGGGGCCAGGATGAGCGAACCTCCAAGCCCATGCCTAGAGCGGCAGAAGGAAAGGAAAAGGAGCGAGGGGAGAGGGTGAGGTCGTCTAGGTCCAGGAGGCGGAGGAAAGCAGGGCTCAGGGTCAGCGCGGAGAGTAGGCGCGATTACCGGAGCGCAGGCTTCTGGATGGAAGGCGGGAGGGCTGGGCAGAGAAAAAACGATCGCTGCAGAGGCAGGAGGACTGAGAAAATTCAGAGGAGCCACAAAGGCGAGATTCAAGCTCTGCTCGCTGAACAGGTTTAAAGCCCCCCACCTGCGGCTTTGCGGGGCGCAACGGCGCAGCCTGGGTTCACGCCGGGCTGGACCAGGGGTCCGAGGCGCTCTCGGGGACCCGGCTTCCTAAAGGTGTTCGGGGAGAGACGGTGCCGGGGAGAGGGGGTGTTGGGTAGGTGTGGAGGGAAGGGCATCTTCGCGTGGCGTTGGGTGCCTGGAGAGCTGCGCGCGGGTGCCTGGGGAAGAGGGAAGACCCAGGGGCCAGCCCTTGGCTGACGGCTGGCCAGGACGGGGAAGGATGGGGAGTTTGGGGAGAAAGGTCGGAGCAAACCCAGTCCCCCAAAGCCGGGACCCAGAAACGCCGAGAGAGGGGAGACGGCCCCCAGCGCTGACCGGTCCTGCCCGGGGCGCGCGCGCCGACACTCACCCACCGCCCAGTGGTTGCCGCGCGGGTACATCTTGGCCAGCGCGGTCTCTCCGGCCGCCCGCACCGGCGCGGCGGGGGCCCGGGGCGCCTGGCAGAGGAGCAGCGCCAGCAGGACGAGCGGCAGCTCGCGGCAGCGCATGGTCCCGACGGGCAGCTCCCGGGTGCGCTTTCCAAACCGAGGAGCGACCGCAGGACGAGGACCTCGGGGAGCTCCGCCGTCGTCCGCGCCGCTGCTGCCGCCTTCGCCGAGCCCCGACTTTATATGGGAGCCCGGTCGGGGGGGTCGGGGGCTCCTCCACCGCGGACCCGAGAGCTCTGACGTCTCCCTATAGCGAGCCCGGGCGCCTAGACAACCGTCCGTGAACACCATCCATCTTCCCGCGGGTAATGAAAAGCATGAGTGTACACTGTCCCTCTCCCTTTCCCTCGTGGTCCCGGCCGCCTTCCCCACGTGGGATTAATTCTTCTCATCCCCGACGCCTTCCTCCAACACAATGCGGAGAACTCCCTCCCCAGCCTTACCTGGATGCTTCCCGCCTTAGCTGCCTTCCGATCCTGCCAGAGGGAGCGGCGGCCCGTGCGGGAAGAATGAGCAAACAGGAAATACTGCTTTAGGTTCAACTTTGCTAGAAGGGGATTGGAACCGGGATTGCAAGGACTTCTGATGCTCAGACCTTCCCCACTCCGTGGACCACCTCCCTCCCCGCAGTCCCAGCCCACAGACCTCCAGACCCTTGTCTCGCCTCCCCCCCACCCCTTCTCACCACCACCAGCAGCAACACCCTCACCCCAGCTGGGCGCCCCTGAGATGGAGGATGGGGCAGGAAGAATCTGCTCTGGGAACAGAGCTAACAATAGTTGTTCTACACACGCGGCCCCTTTCACAAGCATCCAGCTTCCAAATGCTAGATGAAGCTTTCGTGTTAATTTCCCAGGCTGTGTCTCCCAGAAAGCTCAAGCTGTCCCTAAAGTGCCATCCAGGCGCCTCTCCAGAGCTGCCCAGCTTTCCTCTGTTCCTTCTGTTCCCAGATGTGGAGAATGGTCACAGGCCCACTCCCTGGGTTCTGGATGGCATGGATGCAGTGGGAATGGGAACCACAGCAATGCCACAGTTAACAGAAACTGGCAGGGCGCTGTGGCCGCCTTCCCGCTGCCAGAGCTGGGGGTGTATTTGTGTTCCTGCAGGCCTCTTCCTCACCAGTTCTGGCGCATTGTCTTGCTGGTGGGTCCCTGGTATTGCATGTCAGTACTGGTGCTGAGACCAATTAAACTGGAATCATACAATTTTCTCAGAATACCTGGTGATTCAATGCATTCTTAGATGATTACATGTGCACTTTACATAACTGAATAGTCTTGGCCTCATTTTTTAAAATATGCTTTTATTGATTTCAGAGAGAGGAAGGGAGAGAAACACCAGTGATGAGTGAGAATCATTGTTTTTGCTGCCTCCTGCACACCCACTACTGGGAATCGAGCCCAAAATCCCCAGCACATATCCTGACCAGGAATTGAACCTCAACCACTGAGCCACACCAGCTGGGTCCTTGGCCTCATTAATTTGACCCAGCCACACAGGTTAGAGACTTCTCAACAGCTTATAGTAAATCCAGACTGTCCCATTCCACAGGGCACTGGGCAGGGCAGTGTTTCCTTAACAGAAGTGGGCAGGTGGGCACCTGAATGTCTCATTCATGTACAATGGCCCTTCTCCCAGATCCTCAGGCACACATTGTTTTGTGACTGATATTCTATGATTTGTGCTGTGTCTTTTTTGCTCAGTGATTCACAGACATTTCAGCATGAAGGGCATTTTTTATTTCTCCCATGGAGTTCAGGTTGGACTTTTTTAAATTGAATCTACTAGAGGCCCGATGCACAAAATTCATGTGGGTAGGGGAGGAAGGGGAGTCCCTCAGCCCGGCCTGCGCCCTCTCGCAATCCAGGACCCCTTGCTCCTAACCGCCTGCCTGCTTGCTCCTTACTACTTGGCTTGCTGCTCCTTAGTGCCTCCAGGGAGGTGGGAGAGGCTCCCGCCACCACCGCTGCGCTGGCCAGTTGTGAGCCTGGCTTGTGGCTGAGCGGCGCTCCAGCTGTGGGAGTGCACTGACTACCAGGGGGCAGCTCCTGCGTTGAGCATCTGCCCCCTGGTGGTCAGTGAACATCATAGTGACCAGTCGTTCTGGTCGTTCCTTTGTAAGGGTCACTGGGCTTTTATTATATAGACTAGGGGCCCAGTGCACAAATCTGTGCACCTTCAAAAGAACTGTAGGCTGCGAGGCTGTGGTGGGCACAGGGGCGGGTCTTGGCCTATCCCCTGCGCCCCCTCCCAGCCCCTCCCACTGTGGCCCCTGGTCCCCTGTCTGCCAACAGCCCTGCTCCCACTGCCACTGCTCCCACACACTGATGGCCCTGCCCCTGCTCACACTGGCTGACGGTGTGGAGCTATTGGGCCAGCACCACCAGCAGGTGCGTGCAGGGCAGATGCCATCAGTGGGTATGAGCAGTGGCTGCTGCCCTAATTGCCCCTCAGGAGCAGGGGGAGGTGGAGAAGCCCTCATGGGCAATCGAAATCGGCGCCAGGTGGCAGCAGCAGGTGCGAGCAGGGCCATCCCTGGCAGCAGGTGCGAGAGGCAGCTGCCAGCCCGATTGCCCCTCAGGAGCAGGGGGAGGTAGAGAAGCCCTGAGGGGCAATCAGGGCCAACAGCCACCACTCACACCCGCTGATGGTACTGAGCAATCAGGGCCGGCGCTGGGCACTGGCAGCAGGTATGAGCGGGACTGGCACCGGCAGCAGGTGCAAGCGCCGGGTGGGACCGCAGTGTGTGGGAGCAAAGAATTTTCAGTAACCACCAGAGGCTTGCCCTGATGACAGCGACTAGCACCCCGCCTTGGTCTGGCACCCCTGCTCACCTGCTCCACCAACCCGCCATGGCTGACGCCTGCCACGTTCCGCGTGCACCCCCGGTGGTCATCACACATCAAAGCAACCGGTTGTTAGGTTGTTCGGTTGTTCCGTTGTTTAGTCTATTTGCATATTAGGGTTTTATATATATAGATTGGGGTGACATTGATTAGAGGATGGATTTTTTACTGTGAAGCAGGCCATACTGTTTAGATTTCCCATTTTTGTTCATCAAAGACATAAGAAAACATCCTTCAATTTCTACTTAGGTTGAAATAACCAGTATTACCACAGAGAGTTGATTTACATAATTGCAGCTTAAATCCATGAAACATTGCATTTTAGTTCATTTTTTCAGGCTTCATCAAGAGTACATGTATGTTTTCAGGGTGGCTTTTTAACATGTGGAAAATAATTCGCACATCTCTATCATTGCCTGAAAGGGATCCCAGGTTGGGAGTCGCTTTTGCTGTAACTGGTCATTTATATGCTGGTGCCTGGGGAGCTTTGAGGGCAGGTCTTGCTGCAGTGAGAGGCCCCAGGTCCAGGCCAGGGCAAAGAAGCAGGCTGAGAAGGGCAATTGGGGTGGGGGGAGACGACGGGTAGGCAGTGGTGTCCTGCACATGTGTGGTTCTAATCCTGCTTCTGCCATGAGGAGCTACTCTGTGACCTCAGGCCAGTCACTCAGCATCTACGAGCTACTTTTTATTCTAATGAATAAGAATAGAGAGCTATAATGAAGGCAAGCTCATTTTTGTCTTAGATTGTGAGTTTGAAGACGGCATAGTTTTATTGATCAGTGCCTACCCTAATGCCACATGCTTTTTGAGGATAATCATACAAATACTAGCTGCCACTTACTAAGCATCTATTATGCCCTAGGCATGGCACATGGCTGTACCCACATTTGCTCGTGTACTCCTCACAGCTTCCCTGTGAAGATGTAATTCGTCCCATTCTATAAAGAGAAAACTGGCCGAAACCGGTTTGGCTCAGTGGATAGAGCATCGGCCTGTGGACTGAAAGGTCCCAGGTTCGATTCCGGTCAAGGGCATGTACCTGGGATGCGGGCACAGCCCCAGTAGGAGATGTGCAGGAGGCAGCTGGTCGATGTTTCTCTCTCATCGATGTTTCTAACTCTCTATCTCTCTCCCTTCCTCTCTGTAAAAAATCAATAAAATATATTTTTTTTTAAAAAGAGAGAAAACTGGGGCTCCGAAAGGTTGGAAACCTTACCCGATGCCCAGATAGGAATAGGCAGAGCCCAGAGATGCCCTCGGATCCATCTGATTCTTGGGCTCTGGGTGTGGCAAATCTGGAGAAAATGAAGTTCTTTGTAGTTCCAGGAACTTTCTAGGGGCTGGTGCATTTCATCACCCAGAAGGCATGAAAAGTATATTTAAAAGAATCAGGGATGATTTTTAGAGGCCTTTGGGTGAGCTCTCACTGTGGATTCCTCTGCATGTTTTCAACTATTCTCCTCCCACTCCTCACCCAACCCAGCCTCTAGATTTGTGCACTTGCTGCCAACTCCCATGTGGAAGTAGGTGGAAGTGGTGGGAACCCATATATTTGCTTTTTGGAGAATAACAGCCTCATAGTTTGGGCTATAGCAGGGATACCCAGAGTCTCAAAATATAGCTCACGATGTCTGAAACTGAAAAATATTTCTGAGATGTGTGCACTTGAATAGCCTACTGCACGATCCTCCTTGGAACCTGGATATTCCTGGCATTTCATCAACTACCTTCTGTGGTCTTCTGAATTACTGGACAGATTGAAGGATGATTACCCAACTCCAGACTCACAGTTTACCTTCTCCAGGGTGTTTTAACCTCCTCACTGTTTATATTTGGAGGCTGGATAATTCTTTGGTGTGGGGTCTGTCCTTGCAAGATGTTTGGCAGCATCCCTGGGCTCTCCCCAATAGATGCTAATAGCCCCCCTCCCTCAGTTGTGACCACTCAGATGTCTGCAGACATTGCTAATATCCTCTGGTGTGGGGGAATCACCCCATGTAGGAACCCCTGGTCTAATCTAACTCCTCATCCTCCTTAGCTACTTCCTTGCCCAGTTTTCCTTGTGTCCACCTTGAATATCTCTAGTGCTGGGGAACTCACTCCTTCTCATCTTTAGAGAACACTCATGTTCTAAAATCTTCCTTACTTTGAACCTAAACATGTCTCTCTAGCTTCCCCCCAAGGTGTGATCCTATTCTGCCCTGCCTGGTCCTTCTGATTCTCCCTCAAGTGTTTACAGACCATCATGCCACCCTGAATTTTCTCCATAGTTCCTCAAATGCAGTGAT